TTTTTTTTTATCAATATGCTGCAAAGATTATCATTTTTTAGATTTCAGTTTCACAAGCTTCTTATGCAATTATCTTGATAAATACTGAACATGAAACATCGTGTATTTGCATGCATATTTCTAATAACACAGTTTAACAAATAATTTCTTTAAAATGTACAATTGGTATTAAGAAAAAACTTTTAATCAGTATCTTCACCGGTGTTGTTTAATTATTGGCTATTTCGACTCTCATAAAAAGATTGAATTTTCTTTTGTTCTCGTTCTCTAGATTTCTCACTGATCTAGTGCCTAGATTGCATACTTATTTCCTCTCGGAACTGACGACTCGATCTTGATCTTGAACTGCTATACCTTATTTATTGCAATCCTTAATATATTCTTAAGCATCATCTGTAAATCAAAAGCTAGGTATGAGTTTGTATCCCTTATATCAAGTATCCAACTCGTGCATATCTTATTGTAGTCAGGTGGTTTTCTGGGTTTTGTAGAAAACACAAATAAAACACTTCTCAGGTTTTGGATTCGTTTTTTATTACGACATGGAAAATAATTGGTAACAAAAAAGACCCTGTAATGAAATATAAAATTATAAACAACGGTTCAAGAATAATAGCATGAGTACAATGAGAACTCAATGAATTTCCAATTAAAATAAATTATACAAGTTCTGAACCTTTTCTCTATTTCATTATTCTAACAAAATATGTTAATGTAATATAATTGAATTAAATCGCTTATTGATTTTACAAACTATTCAATTATGTAATAATGTCTTGAAAATATAATTACATGCAAAACTAGATTCTACACGAAACAAACTAAATGACTAATGTTAAGCAAAGGCAAAGCAATTAAAAATAAGCATAAGCAAACAAAATAATAAGCATTGATAGCAAAAACATATAAAACCAAACTCAATGCCTACCTCACACTTAGATGCAAAGGTCAAAACAATAGGATCAAATCAAACATGACTCATCAAAACATGGTAACACCTGAATATAAAATAAAGATTATAACTATTGTGCCCCAAAATGCACAATTACAAAAATACACAGATTGTACATGAAATCCTACTTTTAATTAATATTTACTAGTTTTATGATAAAAATACTATTCAGATAGTTTATATTAATATTTAATGGTTTTAAATATTAACTCATATAAGTTTTAATACTTTTATAGTTTTTAACCATTTAATCAATTTAGCTGTATTATCCGTCAGTCAATCAATCATTCATCTCAAATACACTAGAATTATTAAATAAATGATAATTAAATATATGTTAGTAATCATAACTACCTAAATGAAGAATATGGTGACAAAGTAAACAGTAGCTGAATATAAAGTCTCCAATGGACATCAGAATATAAATTATTTTGTATATCTCAAAATGTCTGCCTTCATCCTGAATACAAATCAATAGGAATACTTTTTTAAAGAACAAAGATTTCCCTCCACAGATATACATGTGATTTAAATGACCAATGAGAAAGGACAAAGTGACCAACACTGACCATCAATACAATGAATAAACATTTAAAGGGTTCACATACCAGAACTCAGGTCATCACCTTAATTAGCATATAAAGATAAACAAAACAGCATGTTTTCATTCTTTTATTATTGAAATAAGATACTATTCTGTAATTAAGTAAACAGATCCAATAAATATGTTCCAATGGATATTTTATTATCAAAACAGTAATTTCATACAGATCAAAGTACAATCCTGAAAGTTAAAAATATATATATACAAACCATTGAAATTTCACCCTTCCACATTATCAACCGGGAAATACTAGCATACTCAAAAAGGAGCCAATAGAACAACCCTACCAGGGAAAGAAAAATAAAAAGATAAAACGAATAATAATCCCTGTTGTATACTTTAGTATAAAGATTACAATAAGAAAGTCTAATAGTAGTATCAAGGGTTTAAAAGGGACAACCTATTATCGTTAATTCAAAAAAAGATATATATCAAAAGCTATGAATGTAATTTGTATGATTTGAGGTTAAATTCTTTGGATTGGGATACAACAAGGATAAAATTGAGGATATACGTTGGAAGACAAACTCGTACACATTTAGGCATTTATTTTGGGCTTGATAGAAACGAAAAATAAAATTGGGAAAAAAGGACAAAATGTAACCCCTAATTAAAACATGGGAAAAAAAGGAAATTCAACTGTGATTTGGAACTACCAAAATTGACCTTCATATAAAAATAAGAAGATGTGGTATGATTGCCAATGAGACAACTCTTCATGTCTGCTTCGTGTATTGTGCCAGACAAATACATTTTAGAATTTTAAAGATGCTGCTTTAAATTAAAATAACCGATGTTAAAATCTCGTAAATCGATTAGGAAAAAAAACAAAGTTACCAGGCTTATAATTTTGCAGGCAAGAAACGCGTACAAAAGACTGATCAGTGACGCTTGAATCAAAAAAGTTCAAAAGGACAAATACATTACGAAGTTGAAGAGCAATGAGGGCCAAAAATTCCGAAAGGTTTTGCCAAATACCGCTAAGGTAATCTATTCCTCGGGTAAGAAATCCTGATTTTTTCGAACAAATTCATTTTTGTATAACAGTTGATTAATAAATATCAATGATAATTCATGTCAAGACAAGGGTGCTGACTACTGGGCAGGTAATAATCTCAAGGAAGAAACCTTCACCAGCAGTGTCATCGACCCAGTAAATGTAAAAAGCTCATCAAAGATATCAGGCTTATAATTTTGTACGCCAGACGCGCGTTTTGTTTTCAAAAGACTTATCAGTGACGCTAGAATCAGAATAGTTAAAAGTAAAAAAAAAGTTGAAGAGCATTGAGGGTAAAAAATTACGCAAGGTTTTGCCAAATACAGCTACGGTAATCTATATCCTGAGGTAGAAAATCCCTAGTATTTCGAACAATTCAAAGTTTTGTAAACAGTTAATTCATAAATATGGCAATATCAATTATAATATTCATGTCAACACAGAAGAGCTGACTACTAGGCTGGTAATACCCTCGGGGAGGATATCGCCACCAGCAGCGGCATCGACCCAGTGGTTGTAAATAAACTCATCATGAAATTATCATCAATTGTTTCCAGTAATGTTTGCATGTCTGTTCGTGATGTGTTCGTCCGCCGCTCTGGAATCCATCATCCCCAAAACGTCAACATTGCGTTACGTTATGAAAACAGGCAGATTAGTAGGATCAAATATAAAATATTAGAAAAAAGGGACTTTACGTTTTGAATGTTCCTTGGAGTTCTGGAATTTTTGTTATTTTACTTTTTCATGGTAAGTTATTAAATGGCAAAATCAAAATTTCAAACACATCAAACAAATGGAAAACAACTGTCATATTCCTGACTTAGTACAGACATTTCCTTATGTAGAACATGGTGGATTAAATCTGGTTTTAAAGCTGGCTTAACCTCTCACTTGTATGACAGTCGCATGAAATTCCATTATATTGACAACAATGTGTGAACAAAACAAACAGACGTAATAGGTAAAAATTAAAAAAAATGGGGTACAGCAGTCAGCATTTTGTTTTAATCTTAATCACTATAAAAACAAACAAATATGTCAACAACAAAAAACACAAAATGGCATATAGATAAAGCACATAAGCAAAAATGAAAGACAACAATACAAAATATGTCTATAGCACAATAACACAATTGTGGGATGTATAAGTACCGAGCCACGCCAAAAGGATATTACCAAAAATGGACTAAAAAGTAAAGGTTAATAATATACAAAGACAAATGAAATAACACTATAACATTACTTATTAATATATATAAAACAAATTTTTACATTTTCTCACATTTATTCATGTCGGAGCCTTCTATAGCTGACTATATGGTATATGTTTTGCTTAAGGTTGAAGCACATTCGGTAACCTAAAATGCTTACTTCGCTTCTTTTTGGACTCCGTTGGATCTTGCTTCATTGCCAATCATACCAGTTCTCTTTATTTTATTGTGTTAGTCGTGTTGAATTAGAAAAAAAAATCGCCACTGTAGAACGGCTTGTATTGCCTTTGACTTTTTTATTATTGTACCACTGGTGGGTCTTTTGTAGACCAAACGCGCGTCTGGCGTACACAGTTATTGGCTTGGAATCTTTAGCGAGTAGTTTTACAACCACTTCGATGCCACTGCTGGAAGATGTTTCCTCACCAAGGGCAACACCAGCCCATTAGTCAGCACTTCTGTGTTGAGATTAAATATCATTGATATTGCCATGTATACAAATTGACTGTTTGTAAAACTTTGAATTGTTCGAAGTATATATTTGGATTTTATACCCCAGGAATGGATAGCTTTATTTGACAAAAGCATTCGATATTTTCGGTCCTTTGTGCTCTTAAACTCGTCACTTATTTGGCATTTGACTTTTTTAAACGAACTTCACTGGTGTGTCTTTTGTAGACGAAATGCGCGTCGGGCGTACACAATTATGTGCCTATGATGAGTTTTTTGGCATGAATGCAATTTGCAGAAATACCATAAACTAAAAATAGCAACACAATCTGTTGTTTCCAGGTATAAATCTTCCACGAATTCCAAAGATAAGGAAGTACGTTGGAAAAGCGAGAGCAGTGGAAAAACACCAGATTCATTTGTTGTTATAACTAAGACATAATATTCACCATGCAGTCAATATCCAGTTATAGAAAAGGTATTTCTTTCAAACTTTTTCTCTCAATCGATATTTCATCACTGCTATAAAACGACTACCAAGTAGAAAATTAAGATTTAAATTGAATTTCATCCATATTGAAGTACGCTATTTATATCAATGAAATTATTTACAATTTTATTCTGATGAATTATTTTCAGTTAAACTTATTGAGAACAAGTAACAATACTTGATTTTATATTAGTTTTCCTTTTTGATGAAAATTCCCACGCCTAAAAATAGATCTACAGTAATATCTTTGTTTACTTAACAACTGTGTTATATATCATAAATGAGCTGGCTAACTTCCTTGACAGTCACATGATCGTAAACCCAGATAACAATTTGACAATATATTCACAAGGATTTCGTGACAGTTTCATTATTATAGGATAATTATGACACAAATAAGAAAAGGTAATTTTTATTTCATCGATTTAGTTTTAAGCTCAAACATTTTAAATATCTGAAATGATAATCATTTGTGTTCTAAAAGTCTTCTTCACTCTTTGGCAACTTAACTAGGTCAAGTTGGTGATATAGAATTCATTTTGGATTAATAAATGAACATGCTTAACTTTTCCACGAAAAGTAAAGTTTGAAGTTTGGGTAGTTTCTTTTGTCGTTTGAAGTTTGGGTATTTTCTTTTGTCGCAAGAAAAGATCAGAATATTTTTTTTTAAATGCTATAATATATGTTGTAGTCTAATACAGGAAATTATTTTATTTAAATGAAATGGTCTACCTACTCTTTTGTGATGTTTGATCTAGTTGAATTCACATTCTTTATATTTGTTTAAACTTTAGTATGGTTTACAATTTAAGAAGGACGAATATTTAAACTTTAGTTGTAACCTTATCTAGCTTAACGATCAAAGAATGTCTTAACTATTAATCGGGATAGCAAAGTAAACAATGATATACTAGTACTCGCAAGAACTTGCAATTTAAGAAAAAAAAATAATAGCAATGATTTTTTTACTTAATAAAACATTACACGAAATATGACATCCAAACGAGAGTCATTAAATAAGTAATATTAATACTGTTATCTTTTTGTTTAAAATCAATGTTCAACCAGTATCTGTCTAGATAAGACAACTGAACAGGACAAACGGACATGATATATAATCAAATCGAAATATGGAAAAGAATCGTTAAACTCATTTAAACATTTCCAATACAATAATGATTTTCTTACTTACAATTTAAAGGTTAATTGTTCGTTTTTCAAATTACATATTTACAACAAACACTTGACCCGACAAACGTGTAGGTCAATTTTAACGTATTGTGTATGTTAAACCGCCATTATATCAAAATCGCATACTTAGATTTATTTCCTGGTTTTTGGCAGATAATGTCAGGCAATATGCTGATTTTGAAAATACAAAACTTTTCACAAAAAAACATTCGAGATTTTATATCAAAAATGGTATTTAATACAATGAGAAATAGTCATATTAATCACGGGAAAAAATCCCAGTATTTCTGTGGGTGTTAGTTTGGACAAATGGCTTATCTTAAGTGGTCACTCTTAATTTACGTCATTTCTTTGTCTACACATCTCGTTTGTTGCTTTGGATTTCCCAAGTAAAATAATCTGAATTCCAATTTGAACTCTTTTTATCCCTTTTGTCTTTTTTCTTATTCTTTTGTACATGTATACGCTTCTTGCCGATCTGTTGAGTCAAGCCCTTTCCGACAAATTTGTATTAAAGTTAAGCTGTTACACCATTCTTTTAATAGAAAGATTACGCACTTAGAAAAATGTAACAAGACAAGAACCTGTAAGCCCCGATGTTTGAATATGCAACATTTGTTTCTTTCATTGTTGTTGTTTTAATTAGCTGTTAGTTTTCTCTTTTGAATGTTTCACATTTTGTTATGCCTTTTATAGCTTACGGTATGGGTTCTGCTCATTGCTGAAAGCCGTACGTTGATCTGTAATTATTCACATCTTTGTTCTTTGGGGTCCTTGTTTCTCATTTTTAATTATATCACATTGGCTTATTTCTTTCTAAACATGTGATTTTATAAAGTACAGAGACAAGAATGCCTGCTTTGCATCTTACTCTTTTGTTTTGAAAAATAAAATATATGACTACCGCGAAGATTTCAGTTTTCTTATCGTCAACATCCCATTTTTGAATAGCAAAATAAAATCTACTCAAGCCTATATAATTTCAGTTGATAAGATTTGTTTTGGTCTGTTCTCAATCTTCGATTCCCAAACAGAAATATACTTTTGAGAACATTTTAAGCAAAGACTGCATTATCAAGTCACCAGTTCTTCGCTGTCTCAGCAATTGGTTGTTCGTTACATTGTATCAGTTACACAATATATAAGTAACACTTTATTCTGCCATACCAAATCAAACACATACAATTTCGTTGGAAATGGCTTTACTCATAAGATTGGTACAAAGCACAAAAACAACTTACAAAAAGACAAACTATACACAGTACCAATCTAAGAGTGCTTGTAGTAACTGAAGCCAATTCAAAGCCAAAAAGATATAGCTCTTATAAAATCATTTGTTTTAAAAAAATAAAAATAAACAATAGGATAACGAAACCGATTTTATTGCCAGCTACCAAAATAAAAAAATTATTATTAACTATTATTTTAAGGTAAGGGAACAGTAAATGGACTATGTTGCAATGTTCTTTTTCCTCAAATTTTGGCTCGTTCAACATAACTGAAAATCGAACAAAATAATGTATTTATCTCTGTTATTTTCTGAAATAGTACTGACTGAATTCTTTCAAAATAGGTAATCATTTGTGTAGAAAGCACATAAAATCGTCAAAAAACGCTTTTAAATTTGTCTTAAAATAAGCATATCTCCAATTTCCAACCCATATAATTTTTTAAAGAATTCTATGTTGTTGATACATAAATTTCCGTTTCAATGATATGAAATAATCATATGGTCACCGACTTTGGTTTTTTTTTTGTTTGTGTAATAACCAATCTGTTACCTAGTTGGTAGTGAAAACGTCAAAATCGACGTTTTTCGGCTAACAACGCGATGACGTTACGCTTATTTCAAATGTTTGTTTGTATTTTTCTCCTAGAACACGACTTTGAATAGAGGATACCGTAAAACCGAAGTCGGCGAAAAATGAAAGAGAGAAATGTATTATTTTGTCAATTTTCAGTTAGAGTTCAACGAGCCAAAGATGTATGCAAACTTTTACCTAAATCTGTGACATAGTCCATTGCTGTTCATTGACCTTAAAGGGAACTTCCATAAAAAATAACAATGAATTCGTGTAAATGAAAATATCACATATAAATTGCATTCTTTTGTCTTGAAATTTGCTAAATCCAGTAAAAATCTCAACCGATCATTTGCGTTCAATTGCAATCCAAGATGCCAAAAAGACTCCCATATTATCTTAGCTCGTTATACAAATATCACTTTATAAGAAAAAATTGTTCCCTTTTCAATTTCGATCTTATTCTTTTCTCATGACATTATAGTCTGTCTAATAGAAACGTACCTTCATTTGTTTTCCTATTTCAGACGTGTTAACGTTTATGCCATTAACGTGTACATGGGCTCGTGAACTGATGGAGAATGTGGAGAAAACTTGTCTTTCAAAGGGACCACTTAGAGGTTGGATTCCCATGAAAATGCATATAGTTGACAACCCTGATCTTGAAGAGGCATTTGAAGATAGAAAAGCAGCTCTTAGAAAAATGGTAAATCAAACTTAACCCCTTTTTTTCTTTCATCTATATGACAAAAAGTGTGGTAATGTCATTAAAAAGATGAAAATCAGAACAAATATTTGTAAAAAAACCGTATATAGTGAACAAGAATGACGATGTATTTAGCACTGAAATGAGGGAAACGTTTTAGACAATTCAGAACATACAATTGTTATAAAAGCGAATACAATGCAAATAGTTTAATGCCGTTTTAATAACACACGACACGTGAACTTGGATATGCCTGAAATTGTCCGGAAATATTATGAAAACGTTACTGTCAATTATTCTTTATTGCATCAAATTTTTGTAGGGAAGAACAGAAGAAGAATTGAAAGAGGAGTTCGGTTTTTTAGCTGAGTCATGGAGATCTGTTGTGAGCATGTGTAAATATGGAGTCCGATGCTCAGAAAAAAAGACAAATATATTGGGTGACACGCGTGCTGGACTTCACTTGAATAGAAACTACGATATGCTTCTTCGATTTATGACTTTTAGGAACTTCATTACTGCCAGATGCATTGTCGTACTGAGGGTAAGTTGTTTACATATTTAATTGTTGATTGTATGAATATATAAAACGAAGTATGACGTATTTTTTCATTACAATGAGAATAACTTTTTAGATAAATTAGATAATAATGTTTACAAAAATATATGAGCTCTTCAACTTTTGTATTAGGTTTTTGATTTTCAAATATTTTGGCCTAGTGCATCACTGAAGAGATAATATTTTATTCCTTTTTTTAAAGATGATATTTAAGCAGCGAAAATACACAGTTTCCTTTTGAAATTGAAGCAAATTTTATATTAAAATATTGAAAATGTACAAAATCTATTACTTGCAGACAAATCCGATAAAGCCAAAGTACATAATCATATCATTTCAAAACTAAAACATCATAAAGGATGTTTTTTACAAGACTGACGGTAGTGCAGTGTCTATGTGTTTTATTCATAAACTACAAAATGTTAATCTGTTTTCAGGTGGTTCCAGGGAGGGTAAAAAAGGTAATGCCTAGGTTCAAAGGAAGAACACTCCTTCATCCGTCAAAACACTACGATTCACACACGTCTATGATACAACCTGATCCAAACATAACTATATGTGAAGGACTTGCACATAATTTTGTGAGTAACTACTCTTCATAATCGAATTGGTTTTAATTTCTCAATGTTATCTGTAGTTATTGTTTTATTTTATTTTATGTTTCTTTAGTAAATCGAGTTTTCCTTCCAGTAATGTTTCAATTGATGTAAGGGTTTTAATAGTTATCTGATTAAGTGAGTAAAAGTATCGATAACGAACTGATATTAAGAAAATATACACAATTAAAAGGATGATACGAGACTGCGTTTATACGAAAATGTAATACGTTTCAGCAATGAGATTGTTGCATTTGCTTAAAAATTTATATACTTACATCGAATCCAAACCTTCAATTTTACTTGGCACACATAAGCATGTGATGCTTTATAGACATTTATAGGTTTCATAACGAGTAAGAATTGGTATCGCTTGATATGAAGTTATTTAATTTCAATATCAAAATAACCTAATCTTTGGCAATTATTGATGACATCAAGTATGTTTATTACACCGGAGTAAAAGGTAGTCCGTGTTATCCTTTAAAGTCCCCATTGACCCAACGGATAGCCAATTTCACATTGAAATTTGATTTGCTTACCAAATTAACCCACTTTCGTATAACTTATTCATAGCACACCCCGTTCACTATGATAAAAAAAATCTCTATATGCGGGAAACAGATAACAGGCCACAACTATAAGAGAACTCTATTTATTTACCCCTTTTACCAATATTTAAAAACAAAAAAATACGAACTCCAAGATAAATTAAAAAAAGGGAAGTACATAAAAACAGACAAAATCAAACGTTATCAATCAACGTGAAAAACAACTGTACCAGCATTAACAATTCACTATTTTTCGTTTATGCAAGTAACAGCTTATTAAGAAGACTAAGAAAGTTAAAGGTTTATTTCTTTAATTTTTTCAGATTTATATATACCAACTGGATGAGAAGTCTAAGCTTCCTCTGATGCATCCTCGTCAAGCGGTACCGTATGCAGTAATACAATTGAGACAGCCATATCGTGTCACAGTAAATCGGCCGTTCCTGTCATTTCGTGATAGATTTCTTGCACAGATGAAACACAAAGAAGCAACAAACGGTAACAAGAGTTATAGAACTTATATAAAAAGGCGTCATTTAAAAGGGACTGAAAGGAAAAGAAGCAGAAGTCGTAGTCGTAAAAGTGATGAACGTAACAGGAAAAGTGAATACTCGGATAGTTCACAGGAAAGTGACAATTCTGCTAAAAGAAGAAAGCGAAGAAATGAAATGCCTAAGCTTAAGCCCGTAAGAAAACGGTCAAAAACACCAACAAAACAACGATCTTCCTCTGAGAAAGATCAACCTGCAAATGCTGAAACTGATAAATCTTGTATAAAAACGAAACTTCAGAAAATCGAAGAAGAGATAAAACTACGTCAGTCAAAATTGACAGTGTTACGACACATTAAATCAAACCATGATCTTGAGAAAAATGAAAGCGATGCTGTTAAAGAAGAGTTAACAACGATTGATAGTTATTCGTCTTCCTTGACAGAAACAACAGGTTGTGATGTAGAATTTGCACCCAAAATCAGTTGTGTTTACTCTACCTCTAGCATCGAAAATATTGACATGGTCGATCATGCCATAATTAGGTACAGGGAACTAAGTAGTGGTGCCTCAACACCTACATTAGATGAACCTGGAGACCAAGGAGCCAAACAGTCTGAGAATGTTGCGTGCGGAAAACATTTAGATATGACAGACAATACAGATAGGCAAAATCAAATTGCCTGTTCAGTTACTGATGAGTCTCAGTGTAGCACACAGAGAGAAAACATAGACAACTGCAAAATAACACTTGATGCAAAGAAAGAAAAAAATGATGACAATAAAGAATCTAAAACCTATAACATGGAGGAAACAGATAACTCATTGCAAATAGAGAAGAAAATTGTGAAGGAGGAACTGGAACTGGAAAGTTCAAAACAGGATGATAGTAATAACGTTGAGGAATGTGTTAAACATGAAAGTGAAGAACCAATTGAAAGTTCGTCAACTGATAAAAACATTGACATTAAAACATTATTTAGAGAAGCAATTTACAAAATGGATCCCTCTGATTTGTATGAACTCTTAACAGAAAAATTAGCTGGTGATGAGGAAGATCATTCAAATGAAGGTTTGCAACAACAAAATACAGCAGAAAGCAACAATCAACTTGACAATGAACACAGTGGTGATGTTGTAGGTCTAGACTTATCATGTAAGTCTAAATGTAATGTTCAAGGCAACAAAGTAGTTGTGACAGAAAAAAAGGCAAACGATAACAAGAACAGTTGTGATACAGATTGTCAAAGTAAAATACCTGAAATAAGGGAATCACCCATGTCTCATGCTGTTAGTGCTGTAGAAGATCATAGTTATTCTGCACCAAAGGAGTCTTGTATTGCAGGTTTGGACAATCTTGATATATTGGCAAGTGTAGCATCAGAGTTGCAAGCGGCTAAAGTAGTAGATTTTAAAACTAAAAGTAAAAGTAAAGCGATAACATCTGCTATAAACATCTTAAATGAAAACAAACAGGAGCAGGAATACATATTTGACGCTGAAAAATTCAACCCGAATATAAAGGGAGAACCTGTTGTTTCTTTAAGAAAGTTAGATTATAGTAAAACTCATGACATCAAACAACACGGTAAAGAGAATGAAAAGAAAGCTTCAGATATTTCTTCCTCCACAAAGGAGGATTCATTATTGAGGGTTAAAATGGAACCACTTGAAAATGAAATTGATCGTATCGAAACAGGTCGTAGTCATGCCAAAACAAATCAGGTTACAAATAAACGAAAAAATGATAAGAAATTAAGCGGATTAGAAAAAGAATTGTCCTCTCTCATATCATCAAGCATATCACCAGTTATAGCTTCTACCAAACGAAAAACAGCTAATTCGGTAGCAGCTGCCTTTGCTGCGTCAGAACAACCCCATATACAAACAAAAAACACAAATACAAGAACCTCCAAACATCACAAAATAATTAAGCAGGATGACACAAAAACAAAGGGAGAAAATGAACCTTCAACAAAATCACCGAAAGAATCAAATAGCCAACATGCCTCAAACCATGGTAAAATCTCAGGAAACCAAGAGCCAAAGTTTATCTGCCGTGAAAATCTTTTCGAAAAGTTCGCATCGTCCGATGTAATAGAAAAAAGTTGTGATAGGGAAACAAATGATTCTAATGAATTGTCTCCACCAAAAGTACAAAAAACAACTGCTGAAACACAAGAAAAAACACCACAAGAATTCGCAAAGACAGTTATTAAGCAAGAACCAGGTGTATCTGATGTTTTAGCATCGAAATCGCTGTCTTCAATGTCCGTTGCTAACGTATCGTCTGACAAAGCAAATTGCAGTCGTAAACCTGGTGATCATCTTTTGAAAAAATCGTTACTGTCACCAACTTCTGATTTGGATGAATCCATTATTGATCTTATGAATAAACAAGTAACTGAAAGCATGATGCATACAGAATTGTCTCTCAATGGACTCTCTGTGAATATTAAGAAAGAACCGGTTAGTCCAAAAGAGGAACTTAGGTCAGATGAAAACACACCAGTTACAAAAACAGAAAGCGGTAACATAAACGAAACATCAGACGAATCAACAACTGATGACAAAGGCAAAACCACAGAAGTAGATCTGCCTCAATCTATTGTAAATATTAAGAAAGAACCGTGTAGCCCTGATGCAGAACCATTTTTTGAAATTAATAAATTTACAGAGGAAAATAAACCAAAAAATCAGACGATAGAATCTAATGCTCTTAAACAATCCGAAAATCTGCCAATAACCACTGTAGAATCACAGGAAATCACCACCGAAATCGACAAAACACTAAAAGATCTGGAACAGGTTATAGGTTTATTTTCAGACAGGGTACGAAGCAACTCAGGAGATGCTGAAAAAGATAATTGTTCACATAACAAAATTGGTGAAAAGGCAGTGAAGTCTAGTGAAACAGATGTAAAAACGAAAAAGTTTAAAACAGTGTTGGACAGTACATTATATGATTCTAGCGAAAAATGTATAAAGGGAAGTGTTGTTAAATGTACAGACCACCTCAGCAATGATAAACAGGATGAACAATTGAAATCTACCCACTTATCCAAAGAGTATGTTACGGCCAACACTGGTGAGGAATACATGCCTATTGAGGTTATAACTGGCAATGTTCCTCCAAAGAAATCTTCTGCAATTATCATAGCTTCAAATTCAATAACATTGACTGATCCGGAAACTACAAGTGTTACATCTACCAACAGTTTATCGAAAACATCTGAATCATATTTACAAAATACTCCAGTTTCTTTGAATAAACAAAGTATTGATAAAATACAAAATAAACATCTGTCAAAAAAGCAAAGCAGCAAAACTGACGACACATCTAGGGCTACACGTATTCTCAATGCAGTGTATAATGAAGTTACTTCAAATGAAAAACAAACACTGGATGTCGCCAAACGGATCAAAAAGGAACCAGTTACAGAAGATGAATATTATGGTATCACTTCGTCAAAGGCCATCGAACCTCCGAAAAAGAAAACCGGTAAAATTAAGACGACTATAAATGAAAAGCCGGTAAAAAGAAAAGTATCAGAGTCGACATACAGTTCAGATTCATCTCCATATAGGGATTCATCAAAAGTACACATTCAAAATCGAACTAGCAAACAGAAAACACCAACAAGGAGTGAGAAAGGTAAGGCCACTGATAAGCAACATAAAGACCCTGGTTTAAATCAATTGGAAGCAATACGTACTCATTATTCAACATCGACAATTAATGATAACCAAGATATTAAGAAAACACTCCATTTGAATAGGGCTGATGGATTATCAAAGTCAAGAATACGTGAACGCAGATCTAGGTCTAGAAGCTCCGAAAGTAGCTGTTCATCTTCCACTGACAGCCCAGAGGAAAACTCCAGGAGGACATCAAATGCAAAAAACTATTCAAGTTATTCACGTTATAATGTAAACAGTTCTAAACGATTTCAATCAATTGATAACAGAACCTGGTTTGTCAAAAGCAAATGGGATAGTAATGAAAGTAAACGGTCAAATAATTCTATCAACAATCAGTATAGATTTGGTTCACCTTCTAAGAAAAGCTATAACAACACTGTCAGGTTGAACGTTAACCCTTCCAGGACTGCTAGTCAATCACAGTATCGTATGGGGAAGCAGTCATACATTACATCAAACTCGACCAATCAAAATCAAAGGAAAAGTTACATTGGTGGACATATTCATAATCAAAGCACGTTTTTTTCTCCCAGTCATAGCAATCAGGTTAAGGCAGCAAATATCACTTCAACATCTTTTGGTTCATCCGGTAGTAATAGTCAGAATGAGATAAATGATAGGAGCAAGAATTTGAACACTTATCCTAGGATTTCTATAAAACGAGAAAAAAGTAATTCATTAGATAGAAATGAAACATCAGAGTTTAAACGACTCCGTAGTGTTTCCCCCGATCATGACAGAAGATACGACAGGAAAAGACAGAGAAGTGATTCACGCGACAGAACATTGTTATCTACGTATAAAAAATATAAAAATGATGACCGTGACCGTAAATCGTTTTTCAGAAAAAGTAGAATTCGTAGTAGGTCACGTGACAGAGATAGTAGTAGTTCTAGTGATCGTAGTTTGTCCTCGAAGAATCGGATCGCTTCTTACCGCAGTGCATCTCCAAAGAATAGGACAAGCTCTAACCGTAGTTTGTCACCTAAGAACAGGGCAAATTCGTATCTGACCACCTTGTCCCCAAAAGACCGTTTAAATTCTTATCAACATGCTAACAATGCAAGGTATGATTCTTATCGCCAAACATCCCCAAAGCGTCACACAAGTGGTCTGATCAGTGATGTAAGTTGTCGAGAATACCCTTCAAGCTCATCAGGCAGTAAGGAAACCAAAGAATCAGATATCAATAATACATTATCAAAGGCAATGTCAACTTTGTTGAAGAAGATAATTTTCGATGATAAAAGTAATGATAACAGTAAGGAGGGAAGAATGGCGGAAATGGTTCTAGACATGGTAAAAGCGCGAGTGACTGAAAATAAAATTAATCCTGGTGACACATTTCCTAATCAATCACAGTCAATATTACAAGAACCACATAAATCTGCAAACGAAGTAAAAAGACCATATTCTAGTAATACAAATGCCTCAACAAGAACACAAGGTTCATCTACGTTTGAACGACCCAGGACTACAAGATTTTCGTCGGTAAGCAGACCGACATACAGTATGGTAAACAAACCTGCCTACAACAATTACAACCGATCAAATTACAGTTCAACATACAACAATCAGTATAAAACAAGATATAATCCAAGCATGCGATCACGTGGTTTCTCTAGTAAAAGAGGATTCATTTCTTCTTCAAGGCCTTGGTCAACTACAATATCAAATTTTAATAGCAGACCTTTTGATTCTAGGTCAAGTTTTAGAAGCAGAGGAAGTAATAGGCCTATGCATCGGGGTAGCTACCAAAATGTATCCTCACGAGGTAGTTCGAAATATCCAGAAAGGGAAAGTAGGTCTAGAGACCGAAAAGAGAGTCTTTCTAGAGACGTGAAAAATGATCGCTCTAGAAACAGGAAAGAATTCCATTCTAGAGACAGTAGATCGACCTCAAAGTAGATACAGGTGACACAGCTGATGTTTGATCTCATTACACTTGACTTTGTAGTGGATATTTGTTTGAAATCTGATATCTGGTTGATTTGTTAACAAAATGTAAATACAGATTGTTTCCTTCATCCTTAGATAAAATGTACTGATATACTGATATCAAGTGTAAATGTGGATTGGTGATATTATAATGTCTTGAAACCAAAGAATTTATCATTTACAAAAAATGCAAAGCAGATTGTGTTCTTGTGTTGGTATTGGGACTGGAATCATTTTGAAAACAAGAAAATGCACACCAACAATTAATCTATTGACATTTTAAAAGTTACAGTACAAATAAATAGGTTTTTTTTTTATTTCATCTATCTATATAGTTTTTCATAAAAAAATTAAGGTTGATCAGGAAGAAAATCATATTGTTAATAAAACACAATTTTGTATAATTATTTATTTCTCAGTTAATACTAATTATGTACATTGAAATATGATAGTGTGATCGATATTTGTTTACTAATGATTTCTATTAATTTAATAGTGTTTAAATTGATCTTTATTATTTTCCTTTTTCAATCTGTTTGTGATCAATATAATTATCTTCTTTTCTGCATGGTGATTTTGTTGAGTTTAGAAGCGTATAACTTTTTGACGTACATGATTTTCCGTCATCCAAAGAAATATAAATGTCATATATAAAGTGTTTTTTTTTCCTTTGAACTGTATAACCTTTTTTCATTTGTTCATAAAATATCGTTTTTGATATTTACCAATGCATAATATCATTTCAGTTTTAGATTTATCTCAATCCCTCGAGTTATATCAATTTAGGCTTGATAAGAGGACATCGACCTTATTTCTGATATCAGCATTAAAAAGGGACTAATTGTAGATGTTCCTTTCTCTGATGATGCTGTTCCATTAGCTCATGTTAATTGGATGTACATTTCTCGATTGCTTCTACATGGACGTGTTACACATTCAGATTTGATTCAATTAACAAGAATGCAAATATTACAAAATTTACATCATGCTATCATAAATATGGTACTACTGTTCCATTTGCAGGAATTTGATGCAAAGTAATATTTCTCATTCAGCTATTTTCATAGTCATATTATTGGTGAATCAATCAAATATGAGAATCGTTCCAAGATCTTTCGTTTAGGCTAGAGAAATTTATCAAAAATGCATTTAAATTCTATAAACTAACGGTACACTTCACATGTTTACAAGTTCAATTTGTGTTCAACATAGACCAATGAATTGTGTATGGTCAGGGGGGAATGCAGCGTACGAAATGAAGTTTGGTAAATGGAAGATTTTCAGTAAACGTTATCTATAAATTTACCTATTTATTTAGTGGAAAATGAAAAAATGACAATCTCGATCTTTTTCTTTTTTTCATTCCCTTGTGGTTCTGTTACTCATTATATATGGATATTAATATTAAAAATGTAATCCAGGTATATTGCCATAACAACAAATCATGATAAAGTGGACTTTAATGTTAAAAGGAAAGAAAGAAATTCTGTACACTTTTATGTTTGGCACTTCACAACATCGTGATTATCTGCACTTTTAAATGAAGTGTTTTAAGTTTGCTTCAAGAAACTATAATCTTTCTTGTTTATAAGTGTTTTTCTTCATTTTTGCTCTCTTCCGTACAGTTGTTTTCCGAGATAGGTGATTTTCTGAAATGACGAATGATGGTATGGCATATGATAAAGACACTTTTTATTTTCAAAAATCATGTTTTGTTGGTGTTATTATATGGTAAGACTTCTTGCTTGAAAGTTAGTCGATGATTGGATGAATATATTCATTTACAAAATATACCTTGGGAAGAAACTATAGTACAAATTTGAAAGCTACGAGATATTATCTGATTCAGCATGCACAGCAGAGTGATGTATATGATAGAAATAGGCATCAACAGAAAACATAAACAGCTTTTGTTATTGATTATAAGATTAAAAGATAGATTTTCAATATAATATGATCAACATTCGGAGGAAGGTTTGTACCTTAAAATACGTAATACAAAAAAGTCATCCAAGAAACGGTTTACCAACTTTATGAGGTTGGTTTTTTCATTGTTGCAGGTGTGAACGTGGTACAAATTAATGGAAATAAAACAAAAGTAGGAAACAACAAAACAATTTAACGCAGCGTTGCATTTATGCATATTTATAATTACGAAATTTGTTTTCCAAACATATATAAAAGGCAAAAAAGGGGGAAGAAGATAACAAGGGTCAATCAAAACCCATAACTTTAAGAAAGAAAAAAAAAGGCAATAGAAAAGGAAATAAATAAAGGGGTAACTATCGTGTCTCTCAAGTGATAAAAATTTTAGTAACTAATTAACCATTATAAAATCTTGTTTATGTGGACAAAGGTTGAAATCTATCAGATATTTACTGGTCAGGAGAGAAAAGATTTATTATATTCTATAACTTGTTTAAACATGTGAACTTTTAAAGATAATACAAAGTATCTATATAGGGCCTCTTATCTAATTTGAAATCAACTAAGCTGTTTCAGAAATAATAAAGTATTCCGAATCACATTTTCAACAAAAAAAAACATACTTAAGAAAAAGCTTAAAGAATCAAATCAATTGTTAACTATTGTTGAATGATATGGAAAATACCCGAACAAGGAACCTTTGGTAAATCATAATGATAGTTTACAATTATACCTTTATCAGTTTTCTTAGGTCTTTAAAAGAATTCACGGTCGAGCAGTCACACTTATTAATAGGTTGGAAATTTTAGGTGATTTCCCTTCTATAGTAGAATATTAAATATCTGAACTTTTTTACTTCCGTGTGTAATTACTACAGTGGTGATCATTTCCGTGTTTTTTTCCTCCCCATTCGAAACCATGATTAAACCAGACACACGAATAATTGTCTTTAATCATTAGTGGATAACAAATTGTTTAGTTTTATAAATATAAACCAGATTGACAGCATGATGTGTGCCTAATTTTTTAAGGATCTAATTTTGTATCTGATATTTTTTTACTGGCGAAATAAAACGTTAATTTCATGTTTAGACATGCTTAAATATCTGACTCTTTTTAAAAAGTTAAGACTATTTAAATTACATGACCAGAATTTTAATAATACATTATGTTGAAATTCTAAATTTAGACACATTTCCATTTATTGTTCGTTAAGTTCTAAGTACTGTGCAGTGAGTGCGAAACATTAATATTGTTTTCAATTGTTTTGACACCGGTATGGCTAATTGAAGACAAAACTTCTGGTATATATATAAGCCTGGAATATTTGATGATTTTTAATAACCGTTATACACCTACTGTATCATAGATAAAATATCCTGGACATGTGCATATACATTGGCGAAATTCATTTTCATTGGCGATTTTTTCTTTATCCGCTGAAATCAGCGAAATTTATGACTGCTCGAAAAAAAAACCACTTTAAGTAATGTCGACGACTATCGTAATCGGTTTTTGAAATGGATAAGATTTGCATATTTTATAACCTTTACTTTTCCAAAAATCCATGGAAAAACAATGTAAAAAAATAGCTTTTGACTACTTAAAAGGCAGGTTGATTAAATTGGCATTATCTATCTTTATTTCGGATTTTATAAAGATCTCTGTTGTATTAATTTCATATTAAACTATAAATGTGTAAAAAATAAGGTCCCTTTGACAGGGTTGATTTTTTATTTATAGAAGTTCATTTGAGTTTGTGCTCTAAACGATTTATATTCTTTGTGTTAAAATTTTAAAAATTATTTTTTCTCTGTAAATTTTTGCATTAAATGTAAGCGTATCATGTGGTTGAGTCAGCAAACCGCTTCGTCGCATTTAATGAATTATAAAATGTCTGATTTATGTCTCAGCGAATATATCAAATTGTTTTTTTTAATATAATATGGTAATGTAAGCTTCAAAAGTTTGGTATTCATCAAATTTTCGTTTTGTTTTTGCTTTAAGTGGATTTCACATGAATTATTTTGTTTTGATTGTTTTGAGTTTATACCATGTACCGATGTTTTCACCTTTGATTGAAGGGTACAACCTCGCGATGGACTTGTGACTATGAAAAATAAAATATGTTATCCTTTTCCTAGATATAGTTTATATTATCCAATTCAAAAATTATAACAAATAATATATGTGGCATCGTAATTTTATTCCACACGTTATAGAACATTTTCATTCGCTATAAGGAATATATAGAAACATACACAACTATGTTGAATGATTAGAAAATGAATTCTGAAGCATAACGTGTGAAGATATCATTCTAAAATTCTTTCACGAAATGAAGAGTAAAATGTCCGTTCATCGATTTTATGTTCCATTTATTCAGGAAGATATGTAAATTTTGTTTCATAACCTCCGACAAGATACTTTAATTTGTTTTATTTCCATTAATTTGTACCACGTTCACACCTGCAACAATGAAAAAACCAAATGGGAAATAGATTTAAATATGAAGATTGAAGATAGGAATACTATTTATTCCATGCCTTTTATTATAACCAGAAATTCGTTTTTACAAAATTTTCAGTTTAAGATTGTTCATAGGATTCTACCACGTAATTCATTTTTATTGAAATGTAAATTAAAAAAAACCGAACTATGTCCATTTTGTTCAGAAATCAGAGAAAATATTTTTAGCATTTTTTGGGAATGTAATGTTACACAAAATTTCTGGCTATCCATTTTAGACTGGATTAGAAATCATGACATTTTCTTGCCTTTCAGCGCAAAAAAAGTCAATTTTAGGTGTGTCTGAGGATTTTGTCAACAGTAAAACAGTTAATAATATTTTGTTGTTATCTAAATACTATATATACAAATGTGGATGTAAGAACATATTTCACACAAAATATGGTGGGATAGAATATTTAAAATATTAGATTAATATAGAAAAATACTCTGTATGTTTCTTAACCCCTGCACAAAAAGTAAAATGGATCAGAAGGGGCAATTGTTAGAAGCAGCTTTTAATTAACAAAATCAATTGTAATATTTATATCTTATTATACCATTATGACTTGATCGATCTTACAAGTGTAACTTAATTTTTTATAAGTTGTGCCTAATACTGTAGTATGTAATTTCACATGTTTAATCATGAAAAATTAAAAAAATTACAAGTCCTAGTAAGAACAAGGGTAGAAAAAGGAAACGAGTTTTCAGTTCCTCAGACAGTTCGTCAGAAAGCTCGACTGATAGCTCCGATTCAAGTAGTAGTGAATCAGACAGTGAAAGTGATACGGACTCGTCTTCGAAAAGTGTTTGTTCCGACACGATATCCGCCATTACGAGATATGAACGATTCAACCAGACTGCAAGTAGTTCAGCGGGTAAGGCAATATTGTCAAAAGAACGTTTGAAATATAACAAAACAAAATTCTCAACGTTCGTGTGAGACGAAATTGTTGAAAAGAATATTCTAGAGCACGCTATCTACATTTTCAGTGTAAACAAACAGACGAGTATGTCTATCCTAGTATGAACAGATTGAATGCCGATTTAGATCGGGGAGCTGAAAAGAGCATTCAAGTTGTCCAAAAGCGTATTTTCAGAATAATGGGACCACTCTCCCAACTATGGGAG